TCCACATCTTTCCTGAAATGCAGTGCCCAGAACTGGACACAATACTCCAGCTGAGGCCTAACCAGCACAGAGTAGAGCGGAAGAATGACTTGTGTCTTGCTCACAACACTCCTGTTAATACGTCCCAGAATCAAGTTTGCTTGTTTTGCAACGGTGTCACACTGTTGACTCATATTTAGCTTGTGGTCCACTCTGACCCCTAGATCCCTTTCTACAGGACTCCTTCCTAGACAGTCGCTTCCCATTCTCTGTGTGTGAAACTGTTCCTATGTGGAGTCCTTTGCATTTGTCTTTATTAAACTTCATCCTGTTTACCTCAGACCATTTCTCTAGTTTGTCCAGATCATTTTGAATGTTGACCCTCTCCTCCAAAGCACTTGTAACCCTTCCCAGCTTGGTATCATCTTCAAACTTAATAATCATACTCTCTATACCATCATCTAAATCAATGATGAAGATATTGAACAGAACCGGTCCCAAAACAGACCCTTGCAGAACCCCACTTGTTATGTCCTTCCAGCAGGATTGTGAACCGTTAATAACTACTCTCTGTGAACGGTTATCCAGCCAGTTCTGCACCCACCTTACAGTAGCCCCATCTAGGTTGTATTTGCCTAGTTTATTGATAAGAAGGTCATGTGAGACTGTGTCAAATGCCTTACTAAAGTCTAGGTATACCGCCTCCACCACTTCTCCCTTATCCACAAGGCTTGATATCCTGTCAAAGAAATCTCTGAGATTGGTTTGACATGATTTGTTCTGCTGGCTGTTCCCTAGCTCCTTATTATCTTCCAGATTTTTGCAGATGGATTCCTTAATTAATTGCTCTTCTCTTAATTCCATTATCTTCCCAGGCACAGAAGTTAAACTAACTGGTCTGTAGTTTTCTGGGGTAAAGCTTCAACTTTATATGGGGGCAGCCCTGGGGCCGGGTGGGTGATGTTGGAATACTCCGCATAGGCCAATGATCTTTGCCAATCCAGCCTTCTGAAAGAGAGGTGCTGGTGAAACCTATTGCTCGGCCTTCGAACTTTTCAAACTTGGCTCTTCTTTCTTTTCATTCTTTTGGAAGCTCTGGTTGTGCTCCTGGTCCACCCACCGGCAGAGCGCCGAGGAAGAGCACACATAGAGAGGAAAAGGAAAGATCTGATCTGTCACACCTTCTGCCCGACTGTTAATGCTGTCCCTGCGGCCCCTCCTCTGATGGTGTGTCTCTATACAGGGTTAGAGTCATTAGGGAAGTCCTATGGGACTAGCTGACAGTGGTCAGAAAGGTAAACATGTATCTTCTCCAAAACCCCCATGCTCGCTTGTAGTTAAACACTGATGATGCAAATATGTCTTTACAAATGACAAAGCCAAGATTTTTTTTTTAAACAGGCTTCAGATCCCAGGGGGAAATGATGGATGTATGCAGCTGAGAGAGAGTCGGGAAATGTCAGGAATTGGATTTAGCTTCACTCTTTGCACATGCCACTATGGATTTGCACCGAAAAGCAGTGGCCATTTCTGTTTATAGCCAGGCCTGGCCCTGAGTTCTTTTTTGACAATTTTCCTCCCTCCTCCTTGTGACACCCTTTCACGTATCTAAAAGGGTGTTAACAAGGAAGAGGGAGAAAAATTATTTTTCTTAGCCTCTGAGGATTGGACAGGAACTGCAGCAAGGGAGGTTTAGGTTAGACACTAGGAAAAACTTCTGTCCGGGTGGTTAAACACTGGAATAAATTGCGTAGGGAGGTTGTAGAATCTCTATCCCTGGAGATATTTAAGAGCAAGTTCGACAGACACCTGTCAGGAATGGTCTAGACAGCGCTTGGTCTTGCTGTGAGGGCAGAGGACTGGACTCAATGACCTCTCGAGGTCCCTTCCAGTTCTAATGTTCTATGATTCTATGACAAGAAATGCCCCTTCATTTAGCAGTGCGAGCCACAAACATACCAGTCACACTTTCCGCACGGAGGAAAACACTGTGCACAAATCAAAACCAACGCCTGCATTTCATTTAGAGCAATGCAAATTCTTGACGAAGATCAAGATGTCTTTCATCATTCCTTTTCTCAGCCTGGACACTGTCCGAGAGAGAAAATTTTCACGTCCCATTGGCAATCTGTTTTCT